CACAGGGCTTGGGATTTAACGTGCCATGACAAAGAGCCAGGAAATAACTCAGTTATCTGGCGTCTTGTGATCATTTAATTTGCAGAGTATCCTTTCCTTCAGTTATTTTTTACTCTAAAACTCTCTTTCCCATAAGCTTCATAGGGAAACATTTAGATTCCTCTTTACTCTACAGCATCCAAAACAAACATCTAAAATCCATTACCCTTGGCTTAACTTTACTGTGGGAATGCAACAACACATCAATCCAGATTTACATAAACCCAAACAACACTGAAAAAATTTAATCAGCAGCCTAACAGAGCACACACTGATAAACCAATTAGTACTTCCACGTGTAGCTCAATTAATAAAATGTTTATACTCTTTATATCTTTCATAAAGCCAAAAGACTCACATTTTTGTTAGATGTTTTTCATAATTTGGAGTACATAACTCATCCCAGCCTCTCCTGGGCCTGTGGTTTGGCAGGACAAAGTGGTAGTAGGACCAGGATGAAACATATTACTAGTCACATAAGGTAGTGCTTTATCCTTCTCCCTTTTTTACTTATGCAAATGCCCTGTCTCCAGTAAAAGACATTTGTTGTTTGTGGCCACCCAGCAGGTATTTTGAGGAAATACTTTGCTATTTCTTTGTATTTAAAAAAAAAAAAATACTGGTGTTGAGTGAAGAAAATTAAATGGCATCTACTTGAGTCCCACAAAATAATATATGTTTGTATTTTTTCCTTTTAATAAATTATATTTATTACATAAAATGATACTATTTTTAAACTGTTAATCATTCAAAGGGGTTCTAGAATTAATAGTCAAGCGTTTATAAAATGTAAGATGGGGCCAGAGAGTGGTGTGGTATTAACACAACTGAACCTACACAAGAAGGTCCCCAGTTCACATGCCAGGCCTCCCCGTACATGTCAGGTACATACATGCCCATGATTTGGTCAGGCTGACACTGGGAGTGGGTCATGGCATGAGAATTCTGCTGGGCACCTCTCACTCTCTCACATTAGAAATAAATAAGCTAACTTTAAAAAATGTAGTAAAATCTCTTATTAGTAGGAAATGTCCTGAAAAGGAAGATAATCAGGAAATGTGATCCCTAAGAGCAAGAGTTTTTGAGTTGCCACAACTTTGCCATCCAGACGAGTTTAACCAGTAAAATACCAAGGCTCTACCAATTTCATATTTTTTTAAATACAGAAAAATTGGGGGATTGTTGGCACCTTGTTATCTATTATTAAGCAGAGCCAAGAAGTTTTTCAGTGTCTTATTTCCCTGTATTCCAACAATAGTACTCATTCTAGTGTTTCATGAGCATCTAAATGTTCATCAATCAAATGGAATGATAGATTGACAAAAGAAAACATTCCAGTTTTCTTTTCCCTTTTTGTTGTTTTTGTTTTAGAGAGTTTTTGTTTCGTTTTGTTTTTGCTATAAGGCACATGCACGCACAGGAGAGACAGAGAGAGACAAAGAGACAGAAAGCAAGAAATCACACACACACACCCCCCCATGGGGGATGGCCACACTGCAATTCCTTCTCTTCCATTCTCCTTTCAGGATC